CTAAAACTTTTATTTTGATTTAGGTGAAGCCATCACAGTAGTTTGGGGCTTTGTGCAAGTTAGTGAAGAACTCAAGAACATGAAACTACCAGCAGTGAAATGATCAGTGTATTTCAAAACAAAGCATATAATTAGGTACTTAATATATATAGCTCTAGCAGGCTCACTCTGTGTTCACCCTCACTTTCCACCGTTTATATACATTTTTTTCATTACGTTGTTGACCACTGGAAAGTACATAAAACAGTACTGTAGCTATCATGTTATAAGAGCTTTAAGGTCATTCAATATGAAATTAACAAATAATATATTTATGTTAAAATTATTATTTGTTAATAGAATACTATTTTTATTTTTAGTTAATTTCTTAATTAGTTTTGAGGGTAGTTGTGAACATTTTATTATAAATATTAGTTATAAAATAAGAAACTATACATATCAGGCTACATTATCGTATAAATCTTATGGATGCTAATTATTCGTTGTGTGCAACAAATTTAGCAAGTATCATACTCACGCACACATGAAACGATCAAAGGAGTACCTTTGGTAGTTATAAGGAAGTGTTTAATTTGTGGAATGTGTATATGTATCCAACATCCACAAATTGAAGCGATTTGATATATGATTCTTAGTTTTCGAATAGCTAGCACCACTTTAGTGAATAAGCAAGAAATCCCAGTAATCATTCTGTGTTTGTAGTACAATGGTGATGTACTTTGTCTGAGAGGCACTGACTCCATGTCACAGACGAGTAACATAGCAAGCCACAAGGACGAGTGGGTCTGGATACTCTCTGAATCAGAGACACTCAGGCATGCAAACAAGGGTTATCAAAGATAGTGTTTGCTTGTCAGTTGTGAGAGCATTGTTTCGGATCAAAGCCTTAGATCACAACCACAACCATCAATTTTAAGCAATTCCAACACTTTTTGAGAGATATGCAATAGAGCAGGAAAAAAAAAGAAAAATATAGAAATTAATATGACTTTAATTAAGAGGAAAAAATCTATGTAAATAAAAGATGTTAGAGTAACTTTATCTTTGCAATAGTTGCTTACAATCAAGTTTTATTTCATTATGCAAAATTAACTACATAAATCACAGAACCTATTTATCTTATGAATCATATACATGGAAAAGTAAGCAATATTATTACATGTGGACAAAAAGAAAGCCATTAAAGATGGTCTTAAATGGGTATGATATTGTTAGTGTTTATATACGATGGATGATCTGAGAACACAAGGAAAAAAGGGAGAAAAAAGAGGTAAAAGAAGAAGGCTATGTGGGTAAGGACACGAAGAGAGGATCTCATGAGAGAAGGGGCCCAGAGAGCACATGTGAGTGGCAGTCAAAGCAAATCAGTGTTATTTGCAAACCAAGTAGATGACTGAGGACCCTGCCATTGCCCTGCTACTTTTGCATCCATTCGGTAAGTGGGTTAATAAAAAAGAAAGGGTTTGGTTGAGTAATTGCTAATTGGCTAGTACAAAATATCTTAAAAGATGCAATTGCAAAGCCTCCTTTGCCCCCACTTCACCACTTATCTAGCAGTTTTGTGCTAAAAAAAACTTGTTCAAATATGAAAAAAAAAATATCATCTTCCAAGAAAAATAATAAACATTATATTATACATCCCCTGTACCCATGACCCATTATACATCAGAAGCAGAAAGGAGGAATAAGATAAAGGTAACACACATCCTAGTTTATCAAACACCAATTTATGTGAGAAATTAGAAAGTAAGTTATCTGACGACTCTTCCTTTCGTTGAAACTTTCTGTTTTATCCACCTTTATTCATACTTATGAATCATTGTTCTTGTCTTTATATCCAAATGCTCTATTATATGTATGCGCATTTCTCTAGCTAGGTTTAGGGTTAAACTTGAAACACTCGACCCTTTTTTATTTCCTTCTTTTTGGGTTATATGATTATACCAAGTTTAGGGTTTAAAGTGGTTGATTTCGAGCCTTCATCTGAATAAAATGCGACAAAAATATATTCACTTCTGTTATTTCAATTGAAATTGGGCACCTGGGTAATGAAAAAAAGAACGAAACAAAAACACATTTAATTGAAAATAGAGAAACTTTCTAAGCTTTGGACAACTATATATATATTTACCTAATTTCCTTGTTTGGCTTTCATTATTCTTTTTACAATCTACAACATGTTTTTCAATTCATATTTAATCTGTAATGAGCAAAAATACCCCATAAATTCAAACATTTAGTGTATTTTTATTTTCTGTTCTGGTTTTTTTTTTCCTTTTCGTGTATACTATTTCCCGCCGAGTGAAACAGAAACCACAGTGATCGGTTTATGGAATTCTTGGAAGTTATATGCTGCCACGAACTTCATGAGATCCTAGAAATAGTGCTCACTGTTGAACACCCTTCATGGTTTCTGTAGAACTTTATTATCAGTACAAGGAAATAACCCAAAAAAAATTTACCTAGGAATTTGTGGAATTCTCCACATGATTTATTTCCCTGATAAGAAGCGAAAAGAAAATAGGAAATCTAGTTAGCTGCACATAAATTCTATTCAAATGAAACAAACAGAGAAGAAACCCTGTTTCTTTACATTGATAACTAGCTAGAAGTTGTAGCAAAGGATAAGAAGAAAAAAAGGAAAATATCGTTTTGACACCATATGAAGTATATACACCTAGTGTGAGATAAAAAAAAGTTACATATACCAAAAATATTAAATGAGTGTTAACTGTTGGCTGTTTTCAAATCTGAATTGAAGAAAAAAACAGAGAGACATCTCTCTATAGAGTGATAAAGGCAAAAACCTAACCCTGCATCTAGTGTTGCTTCATCTTGTGTTCATGTAGCCTTGATACGCAGAACCTAATCTACAAGAGAAAACAATTCAAGTGGATCAATATTTTTTCTAGAGAACAATAAATATTATATAGATAACATGAAAAATGATCTCATTTATTTTCATGAAAATAACAAATCTCAACTACATAACTATATGCAGATGGTTCTGATTAATTGTATTCAATTTCAATAATGATAATATATGTATGTTTCGAATGATTGGATAAGTAATATCAGGGTAAGACTAGGTTGCTTAAAAGAATGAATATTTGTATAAAGAGATTAAAACAGATGAAAGATATAGATGGGTTGCACCCATTAACTTGTACGTGGAATGGTTCACTTTGGATGCGTGTTAGCATCATTTTTGTTTCTAAAATAACGCTTGTGAGCTAATGAAATGGTGGGCTGTTTCTGTTGAAGAAAGCATCTCTTTCCAAATGCTATCGTCATGATTGTTAAATTGCTTTATGAACTAACCCAAATATATGTAACGTATTCACCCCTTGCCTTAAATGTTAAAGAATATATATAATAAATATATTGTAACTCTCGCATGCCCCAATTAAAAAAATTAAATGTATGCGAGCTCAGATGAAGACACGTAGTACCATCATTTAAACAAGTATTGAGATAGAGATTTTGTTGGGTTTTTAAAATTCTTGGTGAAGACAGAGGAAAAACGAGAGACATAAAAAGATATTAAAAAAAGGTGTGTGCTTTCTATTATATTACTCTTTTTAGTCTTTACCCACACCTGCTGCACAAATTGGCTGCAACTCTTTTCATCCTTCTATGCCCCACAAACTAGTGCTTGTGTTTAGTCATTTTTACAGGAAAAAAAAAGGTCAGGTGTATATAGTGCCATACACTTGCAAGGGCTCGGATCACACAGCTAACATATAATAAATACTACTTCAGACACAGAGAACTGAAAATTGTCCCCTTTTTTTTTCCCTTTTCGTTTACCCTACTAACCATAATTTTAAATAAATTTAATTTTACACCCTCAATCAATTAAAATACACTATAAATATGAAAATTAATATTATTTTAGTTTGTAGATTTTCTATTCGGTTACCTTATGTTGGGGGTGTTAGGTGCACTACCATTTGGTGAATCACAAAATCACTGACGGCCAAATTGAATTAATTCAGGGTTGATATTGGGGGGTTCAATAAATTCATCAACTGTTATAAATATTAAAACAAAAGAAATGAAAAGGAAAAATGGATGAAAGTGAAGATATATAGAAAAAATGAAAGTGTGGGATTGTTTTTTTTCCCTGTTTTAAAGTGACATGGGCAAGGGCAACGGGAAAGGTGAGATGTGTGTATGTAACTTGGAAAATGAATTGACCTTTTAGTGCCACGTAGGTGTTGTTATTGCAAAGCTTAAAATGTTTAGTTTTTTGGTATCTGATACCCCCAAAGTGTGTGTGTTTTTTTTGTTCCGCTTTTCATGCAGCTCAAGTCCTTCACATTACTTCTATTTCCATCATAAGAACCGTTCATCCTTTTGGCTCCAAATGGGACCCCATCAAGTACAATGGTCCACCAATTTTTCTGTGGGCCATTCTTGTTGGCCACTCCTACCGCACGCAGGGGTAAGATCCGGCGCGTATCCTACACGCTCCTTCGGTTGTAACTTGCCGTAGTAGCAACACGGAAACACCCCCCTCCCCCCCCCCCCCAAAAAAAATATGAAAATATGTTAATTGTTGGGTTCGCTCAACAGTGAGTATTATCGTAAACAAGTTTATCCGGGATTTCGTGATATGACGAGAGTACCCTCCACCCATGACCCATGTTATGTTTTTTTGGATAAAAACTAGTGGGGGCAGAGAGAGAGAGAGAGAAAAATAAAAATAAGAATAAAAATAAAAAGACTATATATGCTCGATTCTTGAAGTTGAACCTAACCTAGCTAGCATTGGAATGCACAGGGTTTTACTGTGGGGTTGTCTGGACGTGATCATTTCCTGAGTTTCTTTAAAAGAAAAAAAAAAGGCTTTTGGACAACCAAGAGTGACGTGGTTGTAGCGGCAGGTGTTCCTTTTGGGCAAGGGAGAATGGTGGTGGTAAATAGAGATGAAACCTAAGGGTAGAATGGTCTGAGAAGGAGAAAAACAAAACAAATGGAAACATATGAATGAAGGGGCGAGAAAACAAAGCAAAGCAAAGGAAAAACCCTGATTATTATCGAGGTGTGTGTTGAGAGTTAGATAGAGAGAGTGAGTGAGTGAGATCTGCGAATACAAAAACAAAGAGAGAGCTAAGACCCCCCTCCTCCCCCCCAAACTCTCTGAAAACTCCTTCACTCGATTACATAAAATCCATTACTGAGGAAAAAGCACATGAGGATCCGGAAGAACGCGAAGCTTTCCCCTCTTCTATTCTCGTCCTCTTTACGAGGTGGTTCGGTTCCGGTTGAAAGGTTTCAGACCCACGTGTGCCAGCTGAACCAGTCTCCATGGGATGTGATCCCCTTTCACTCTGACTCCATCCAGGTTCGTCACTCTCTTCTCTCTCTATTCCCTTTCAGATCCAACCCATCAAAACCCTCTCTTTCTTTTAGGGTTTTCTCCCCCGAGTTAGGGTTCTCCCCCCTTCACACGCCCTAAATTCTCCTCCTTTCATCTTCCTCTTCCCAATTAGGTTAATGGGTATCCCTCATTTCTCACTATTTCCCTCTCTTTCTCCTCTCTCAGCTCGAACCCGACGATACCTTCACCGCTGCAAATAATGCCAGCGCTGGCGACTCCTTCGGCGCCGTCCAAAGGTATGTAACGTATCCCAATTCCCTCTACTCATTCCACGCCGTTAGGGTTTTTTTTGTCGTTTCTCTCTTCTCCTTTTCATTAACTCAATTCTCCAAAATTTTCTGCTTCTCTCTGCTCCCTCCAATGAATTGTTATCGTCAACGATAGCGCTGGTTCGATGATGGACTCCGACGACAAGGTTAAGCTCGAAGAAACAATGACGATGGTGGCTGATAATAATCACGATAATTGTAAGACGAGAAACTCGTGCTGCTGTAGGAACGAAGGTAAACAAGCTCAATCGTTTTGCGAACATCATTCGACTCTTCTTAGGTCATACAACAGTAGTAACAGCAGCGGTTATGCCAACAAGAAAGCGGTTACGGCGGGGAACCGCCGCGTGAAGACACGCTCCGCGAAGAAGCCACCGAGTTCGAACCCTTATGAATTCTATTATTATTCTGGGTTCGGACCCTTGTGGGGTAAACGAAGAGGTGATAGAAATGGAGAAGGGAGCAAGAACAGCGTCGGAGGAGGAGAGAATTCGACAATGGTGGAGTCCGAGGATGTCGTGGATGCTCCTAGTGATGTTGTCGACGATAATAACAACAGCAACAATAATGATAACAATGTTTGTGCTTCGGAGATGGATAATGGGGAATTCGATTATGTGGATGATGACGAAGAAGAGGATGTTAACGAGGATGATGGAGGGAAGAAGAGAATGAGGAAGCCAGTGAAAGCAAGGTCGCTTAAATCGCTAATGTGAAGATGGGTAACAAAGATATAGTAAGATCGAGGGTTGGGGTTCAATGTATTGTTTTGTGATTATCGTAATTTGTTGTTGTCTTTTTATTATTTTTATTTTGGTGTTAGGGTCATGTTGGGTTGGGTTCTCCTCTTTGGGATATTTAGGGTTATGAAATAATGATGCTAATTTTGGTTTCACATGACGATGAGTTGGTTCGCGGGTGAGTTTAGAGTTGCCAACATCACTGACGGTAGGGGTTTTAATCTAGTGTGAATGAGGTGGACCGGAAAAACTGTGTGTTTCAAATTAAAGGGTGTATTCGTAAATTCACTTTCTCAATCTCTATTTTCTTTTTTTTTTAAGGTTCATTTGCTTTTAACATCTCGTAGCTTTATCCAGAAACGGAGGATTGGACTTTTTAAATTGGCAGTTATATCCATGCATAAATATACTGTGGGCCACCTTTGCAGCATATTTTGAAAGTTACTTCTTTTCTTTTCTTTTCTTTTTTTGCCCATTCTTCTCACAAATAATAATAATAAAATGCTAGAAAAATTAAATTCTAGCTTTTTCTTCTTTTAATCACTCTGTTTATCAAATATTAGCATTGCCAAGAGAGCCAAAAGATTGAAATGTTAATTGCGGAATTAAAATAACAAATTAAACATCATTACACGGAGGTTGAATGATCGCATGCGCTTTGTATGGTTTCTTTTGGTACTATCCAATCAAATTTGTTAACTATTTTAGCATTCTCGCCTATGTCAACACAGCAATTGTGTTTTTAAGCATTAGAGACTTTTTTTAATTTAAATATTTTTTTAAAATTAATGCATAACTAGTTTAAAATATTAAATTTTGTAATTATTATTAACAATTTTATTGTATTAAAAATTGAATAAAGGGATAAATTTTAAATTAAAAATAAATTAAATTAATATTGAGTTAAAAAATAAATATTTAACATAAAAAATCATTTGATATAATGAAAAAACTTTAAAAGTACTTTTGTTTAAAAAAAAAACTCTTAAAAATATTTTAATTTAAAAAATCGTGCTTATAAATTATATATAAAGATTGAATTTATCACGTGCTGTGTCAATAATTCCTGTTTAATTAAACTTTTGTTTTATTTTTTAGATTTTTATTCTGACAACAGAGCATACTCCTTAATCTGTTTTGTGTATTTTATGAATAATTAGTCTGGTCAATATCTTATTCGACAACGTCTCATTAAAAATTATTATTGACCAGTCATTTTGATATTAGTTTTTAAATTAACATTATTCCTTTTTTTTTTCGTGAAAGTATCATTATTACATCAGTTTTTTTTTAAAATAATAATAAAAGAATATACAATAAAATAAAATTGCTAACGAGCTTGAATAATAAGAAGTGCATACCTACCCAGTAAAAGTGTATGCAATATTTATGAAGTTCTTGAAGTGTTGAAAGCATTTGTTTTTGACTTAAAAAGTTGTAATTTATAATGGAAATGTTGTGATTACTTCAGGAGGTGTTGGGAACATTTTTCCGGTAAACAGTGTTTATAATTTTGCTCCTAAAAGTTGCTTTTTTATTAAATTTGAATCCTATTAAAACTTGTCTTATAATTTATTTTTTTTCATGTACACTTGGTATAAAAAGTTATCATGACGTTGAGCTACAAGATTTGCCCCTAAACTAAAGGGCATCATAGCTTTCTACATGATGGCAAGCCTATACTTCATTAGTGTGTGTCTAGATAGATAGAGAGAGAAAATACTCATTTTCACGTAAGCATGAGAGAAATAATAAATAGGTAAACAACATTGTAAAATATTTACATTTATTTTGTCCCAAAGAGATGAATGAGATTTAAAACTATGACTTATCATATATACAAACATATCTTGCTTCATTTGACCAAACTCTTAGGGTTAGCTTTTTTAAATAATGGTAACCTTTAGATTTTCCCCCGGTGGAATCAAATTATTGTTGTTTTTGTTATTATTGTAATGTTAACATTTAGGTTTAAATATATGACTTTGTGTAAACTTTTCAAGTTCCTTAGTGTTGCATTAAGTTACAGTTTTCTAAAAGAATGTAATCTGACTTGAGCAAATTATTGGCAGATTTACAGAGATTTTTCCTCATTCGTTCAAATTGTGACACTTTAAAATCAGGGTTGAACTATGTAAATACAATTGTATCTTTGCTTCCTTGGCTTGCAGCCTGATCATGATACAGTTAATACATTCTTTTCCATATTTTCATATCAAGTGAGTTTAAAGTAAGATAAAAAGCAAACTTCAGAATATTATCCTAAACAATGATCACTTTGCATTATTTGAAACTTACTTTATTTTATTTTGTATAATTGGAAATATAAAGTTAATATCAGAAACAGGGGTTATTAATACATAATGCAGAGCAAATAAGGCTCACAATATGACATGGAACATCATCTATATACTATTCATTCTGATTTAAACAATCTGACAGAGGAGCAAGTGCGACCTTATTATTAATTCTACAGACATTAAAAAATGAAATTGATCTTAATCTATAATCTTCATATCATCCCACTTCAAATTGCAACTATGTTTTAAAATTATAAAAATCCACATATTTTTCTCTCCTAAAAATCAGCATATTATTAGTTTCAACTTACAAATTATATAGGCTGAACTCCAAATCTAGGAGAGGTATCGAACCTGTTTACCTATTCATTGTTGAAGACATAGACACCCATAGCATCAGAATCAGAGATACATAGATTAATGTAGCAGCTAAGAGTGTCAAGCATAAAGAAGTAATTTCAGTAATAGTTCTAAAATGAGATCACAAAAGCTTCTTAAAATGCATTAAATTATTTTGGGTAGGAGTATTAATGTCATATAAGTTACTTATGTCTTGATGACCTAACAGAGCAGAGAATGTGCAACAGAGAAAGCAGACCATCAATTTGCAATTTACAACAAAATGATCAAAGTTATCTTAGAATAATAAGATGAAATTGGATCCAAAATGTATTGGACAATATATCATATTCTCACACAACGATGAACGTACAAAAATTTATTTTACAAGGGTAACATGCACACACATTTAAATTTGTAGCATTAAAAATATTTAAATTATTTGTAATAGTATAATGTATATCATGATTATTTTTTACAAATTTTTATGTTGAGCAAACTCTGAAAAATTTTCTTATTTTTAATAATGAAAAAAATGAATTGTAACATAGGTAACAAAACAATCAACCAATTATCTGTATCTTACACAATTTTTCACCTGATGCTTAATGATACTTGTAGCAAAGAAATACATTGATTTGTAAGCAAAGAGATTTCTTATACTGTTGCCTCCCATTCTATCATGTATATTATTTTCTAACATATCTCAATTTTATTTTAGATTAAGGATGTCAGATTATAAACACAATTCAAATTTAGTGGAATTACTATAAATAATAAAATTTGTCCTCTATATTTTTAATGCATTTAAATATTAAAAACTCGAAATTAAAACCATACATAGTATTAAACTTAAACAAAGACACAAACACGCACACACGCATGTGCACATGCTCACAAAACCACATACCAAAGACTCAAACTCAAAGACTAGATTCTTAAGCTTGAACAAATATAAATGCACACCACAAGTATCTTTTATAGAAAATAATCCTATTTGAATGTGAGGAATGAGCATATTTATTATCAAGTTAAGGAAGATATTCACTGCTTGGTATGAGGATGGTAACATGCATTCAACTGATCAAGTGAATTTGTGTACACTATGAATTCAGTGAATTTGGTTGCTTGAGATAGCCAAACAACCCACCCTGCCTAAGCTCACAATTCAAATAGGACGGTGCATATATGATTCAACACACTTTTTTTTAATTAATGAAAACCATTTAAATTAAGGGTTCTTGTATGTATATTCTTTATTTCAACTCATCATCTACCCCCCAACCTTGACAAGAAATAGCCTAAGTGGAAACCAATCCTAGCCCTACCAGCCGCCACCACTGTCCTATATTAAGCAAAGCATGAAGCATATCATGTCTAGTAGCAATTGCAAACCTAAGCTATCAGGTATGCTACTTTTTTTACACATCAAACCCTTAACCAACAATGTTGATGAATGTTCAACAAAATCTTCCGTCATCACAGTCAAGTAAAAATATTCTAACTTAACATCAAAACCTCTTTTATAAGTACTCACCCACCCATTCAGTGAAGTGGATCCTAACATTGGATAAAGACTGTCATTAGACTCATTACCAACAAGGAAGAAGAAATACATGCTAACCTTGATTTCATTAGAAGAAGTGAAGAACGGATATGATGAATCTTATACATTGGCAACATTTATCTTTTTATAATTAAAATATATAATCTTCTATAATAAATTAGAGTCTTTGTTTACTTTTTATTATCAAAACATGACTTTTTTTTATTCAAAAATAACACACGTTTTTTACTCTCTTTTTTTCTATATTTTCAATTGATCATTGACTTTTCTTTATTTTATTTTTCCCCATATATCATAAATAAATTATGCTCCAATAATTTTAAAATTTTTACTTATAATTTTATGTAATTTTCATCTTTATTTCTTTGTTTTGTATTTAGTTGCATAATCAAATAGTAAATTTTCACATATGTATTTTTTTATATTAAAAATAATCATTTATCTTAATATCTTAAGCTTTATTTGTAAATTTAGAGAAAAAAATAAAAAAGTTTAGAGGACAAGTAAGGAGAGGAGAAAGAAAATTTGATAAAACAATCATCTAAATTGAGAGAAATTAAAAATTTAAAAACTTTCAAATTAGGATTAACATAAAATAATTAAGCATTTTCCTTCCTTCTCTTTCCTTCATAAAACTAACTGCCAAATACAACTTTAGTCTTTTATCCCTTTGAAAAAGACACATGTCACTTTTATTTTTTTAAATTTAAATTTAAATTTAAATTTAAAATAAATTTCTCATATTTTAATTATAAATAAAAAATTAATGTAAAATATTTAAATTTTAATATTAGTAAAATAGGCATAAATTTATTATAATTTTATATTGTTTAAATGTTACGTGTGAAACACGCTCTTGCACGTGCGTGTGATTTGTGGGAGAGTACCACCAGGTCAGCAATTCGGGTCGTAGCTTCTAAATTGGTAAGGCTTCTTCTCTACCCGGTAGTGATATCCGGGTATAAGACACCGATTCAGATGCATAAAACCACATAGCATAATTACGTATTAGTACATTCCTCTATATTATAAGTCCATTTCAAACAACACAACATAGCAAGATTCATGACCA